CAGGATGGAAAGTACCAGACACGGGGTATATATTTTTTCCCATAAGTGCTGGTTTCAAAGTATGCACATACTGATAATACCCAGTAATCCACATAGTAACCGAGCAAAGGATACCGCGATAAAATTGGAGAAAATCAAACATTGCAGGCGTGGCCATCGGGATACATTTCTCAATCGAGAAAATTAACTTAGGACGAGACGCCATGAAGTTCCCCCCGAAACCCCTATTAGACCCGGCCACAAATGGGTCAATATGCACGCCTATCGATGACTTCCGTCAAAAGACCAAAAGAACGTCCATCTACTCACACTAAATTAGGGTTATGATACTAACAAAAAAATGGCCTCGTAAGTTAAGGTAAGCTTTAAAAATGCCGAAAATGCCTAGGAAAATGGGTATTCCAATAACTGCCCTCTTGCCCCCGAAGTCTGACTTAACTCTCACTTCTTTGCTATGCTATCAGCTATGAGTGGAGATATCAAAGAATGAATTGTTCTTCACAAAACGAAGACAATCCCTGGAATCCTCTGGTAGAACAGTGAAAATGAGAAAATATTCACGTCAGCTCCTCAAAACAGTTTCTGAATAGCCACCAGAGTTTTCCGCCTAAACTAACAGAAGCTGTCGAAATTCGATGCAACACTTGCTTGTATAACTACAACGATTCGTTTGCACAGACATGAAAGAAATGTCGATCGTGCACACTCGGGTCTGTCTAGAAAAAAACGTTTGATGACACAAGTCCCCTCTAGGCAGGCAAATAGCGCACAGCGGAAGTTGCCCAATACAAAGTAGACAAACACAGTATCTTCGCAGTGATAACCGATCGTCGGCGCGTCGCAGCCTTTTCTCGCCCCCATGATTTTGCCGGTTTGATCTCGGGTTTCATTTACCTAGTAGCCCACACCTTCGACGATCCCGAAACTGGGAGTTTGACTTGTGTCTGTCCAGGAATGTGCATCAGAATCGCATAACGGTCGCCACAGAATCCGTAGTGACTGCTGGCCGCTCGGAAACAATGCTCGGAATATGCACACACAAAAAACGGACATGCTAACTTTGCTAAACAGCAAAAAGTTAGGACGTGACAACACACGGCCAAGTGGAAGGCCAAACAGAGAAGACAGACTTGTCGACTGGCATGATTTTACTTACTATATGCATGCATTGATATACAAAAGTGTGTACAAAAGAATTGGCTTGTATAGATGCCTTGAAAGAGTAGGGACTAGTGGGGCGCAACGGTGCGGGCTTTGTGCACAGACTAAGGAGAGCTAGTCACTGGTTCTTTCGGCTTAGGGAGAGTCTTGGGAGTTTCGATTTTTTTATCGGATGGCTGGCTAGATTTCGCTTTCTGGTCAACCTTGTCCCCCGTCGAGAGTTCTTCATCTGTTGAAGCTGCTGCTGCCTGCGCTGCCGCTGCTGCTGTCAACTCCCCCTCCAGTTGAATCTTCTTTGCCTCTGTGAAGGCCTTCAACTCGGCATAACTCTCCGCGATCTCACCACCCAGATCAAACTGGCGCGCCAGGACGGTGAGCTGGGTCATCTCGTCCACTCCGTCTGAGGACCGGATTACAATTTGGTCCTGCAGCA